TAAGTGGTTATCTAGTTTGATCTTATGTGATACAATAACATGGATTTTGGCTGTATTTTGTTTCTAAGCAGAGAAATTGCTTCCCAGGATGTATTAGAAAAGGGTTAGATTAAACTTGAGTGAAGTTTTAAAAATAATTGTGACATCTCAACGTTGAATTTTTACCGAATAAAAACTTGGGCAACAATGTCATTTTTTTACTTTGGAAGATTATGAGAATAACTAATAATACTTGGTGGAGTTAATATAGTATTAGAAGTAGTAATTTTAACAGTTTTGAACTCATTTTCAAAATTATTCATAATTGGAATAATTTTCAATAGACATCTCAGTCTTTATTTTTTAGGAAATTACAGTGATTAAATTAACTGCAGGCAGCCTCTGATTGTTATTTGAAGATAATAGGAGTCTGTTGAGGATTGATGGGGAAATGAATGATACATGTTCTATTAAAGACTTCAGAGCTGAAGAATTTTTCATCACTTCTTCTGTCGGGCTACAATTTATATATTCAAGGCATACTCTTCAAACGTAGCTTCCTTTACTGTATTAGGCCTAGAAAACTAGTTCAAATGAAGAAGGAGAATAATGTTTTTCCTAGGATTAAAATACATATTTCTTTTAGGGGAATGTATGATATGCCAGTTTAAAAAGAAATGATGTTACGCTTGTAAAACTGAAAGTTGGAGAGTTTTGTTCTTTCTCTGGGTGTTTTCAGGATTCTGTCTCTGCTTCCTTATGAAATTGAACATCAGACAAGAACAATAGCTTCACTCATTATTCAGGCATTTGCAATTACCCTTTTACTTTGAAGTGAGACACACAAAACACTGAGCTCTAGGGAAATTGTGCATGGATGAAAGAATAAATGGATTTTGATCTGTGATCCCAGCTTGAGGCTTTCTGGAGAGGGGTAAAGTGTTTTCTTTTTTTTTTTAACAGTGGAAAATAACACCCTATTTCTTTAAGATCTTCCTAAACCAGTGATTTAGAGAGTGTATCTGAGTCTGAAGACCATGCAGATAAGCATCTGCAGTCACCCTTACCTGGACACTGGTGGTATTGCTTTGGAAATTTCAGTATTACTCTAAAAATTGTCTGCTTCTGACCCCAATCAGTACCCTTGACTTACAGGCTGGGAAGTCTGTTAGTATTCTTGCTGGCTAGAATGTCTACATAGAGATCTATGCTGCTGTTTGTGAATCACATTACATACATACAGTGATACCCAAAATTGAAAAACATTAATCCACTTAATATCCTAAGATGTTCTTATACAAATGCCAATTATTGTATCATGAAGCAATGCTATTTTCACTGCTTTGGGAAGTAGATGGAAATGACATGCAATCTGTTCTGGGCAGAAAGGAAGAGCTGGTATATTACTAATTGCACCAAATGCAAAGACATAAACATGAACAAAAGGCAATTACTTGCCATTCAGTGTAGCTAACACTCAACTATTTAACATTGTTTCTGGTTAATTATTATAATTTCAAATCATTATAGTTGGAAAATGATTAGATAAAGCACAATATCACATTAACTTATAATTAAAAACACAAAATTAAAACAGTAAGGCACAAAGTTTGGACAATGGCAAATGCAGGTTGTAGAAGAGGAAAAGTGGATTTATTGGGCATGGAAATTGAGGGTTTTTTATGCTAGTGTGATATTTACAATATTTCTACACTTAAATTTTGGCCACAAAAGTAGTCTTATGAGTTATGCAAACTTGGATATATTTGCATTCAAAAAGAAAAGGTGATTGAAAATGCCTATCTTACGGGGTTATTGTGCAAATTGAATAAATTAATCCATGTCAAAGCAGTTTGTAACTTGCAAACTGTGACACTAAATTTACTTTATAGGAGGCAATCACTAAGTGTTCTATGTGATTGAAAAAAGACTAATCCAACATATTTTGTGTTTTTTTTGATATATGAAAAGAAGGAAAGCTTCACATGTGTATATCTGCCAAAAATATTTAGCCTGAGCTTAATTGTGAAGAAATAATTAGACAAATCCAATTTGAGGGACATTATGCAAAGCACCTAGGCTGGACTCTACAAAACTGTCAATCATCAAAGACAAAAGGAATTGTATACACATGATAGTATATGGAATGGTGATCCTTGATTAGATCCTGGATTTAAAATATCACAAATTCCAGACTGAAAAGGACATTACTGAGGTAATTGGGGAAGTTTGAACTGCATATTAGATAACATATCACTTAAAATTTTCCAAGTATGATCATTATTATGTAGTTATGGTAGGATATTTGTTCTAAGGGGGTATCTGTTAAAGATTTAGGGGTGAAACATTTGTAAGTCTATAAGTGATTCTCAAATGCTTTGGAAAAATATTTAATGTGCAGATAGATAAATGTGACAAAATTTGGTAATAATTTGGGGATCTAGATGAAGGCTATGCAGGTGTTCATTTTTAGCTATTCTTGTAACTTTTCTATAGTTTTAACACCTACAAAATAAAAAGAGAAAATTTAAAAAGTTAAAAAAAACCAAATACTCAAAATAGCTGAGTCATTAAAACACAGACCTTGAAATATGTCCTTTATAAATCGTGCTTTTCTACTATCTCATTTTACTGTGAATTTCAAATTATAGGTTTAAAAAAGAATAATCTTGCAACAAGAACAGTGCTTAAGGAAAATTTATAACATTGAATGCATATATCAGAAAAGAAGAAAGATCTAAAATCAACAATTGAAGATTTCATCTTATGAAACAAGAAAAAAAGAGCAAATTAAATCCAAAGTGAACAGAAGAAAAGAAATAATAAGAATTAGAGATGAAATCAATGCAGCTGAAAACAGGGAATCAATAGGGAAAAATCAATGAAACCAGAAGATGGTTCTTTAAAAAGAGCAATAAAATAAAAAAAGCCTCAGCTGGGTGCTAAAAGAGATGACACAAATTACTAATACCAAAAATGAAAGAGGGAACATCATTATATTCCTATGGAAACTAAAAGGATAATAGAAGAATAATAAATAATGAACAACTATGCCCACAAATTGGATGACCTAGGTGAAATGAACCAATTCCTTGGAAGACATAAGTTCAAGACTTTACTGGAAAGCTCCATTAATCAATACAGTATGGTATTAACAAAAGAATAGACAAATAGGTCAATAGAACAGAAAGAGGGCCCAGAAATAGGCGCCCATACTTATAGTCAATGGATTTTTCATATAGAAAGAAAGACAGTACAATGGAGCATAGTTAGTCTCTTCAACAAATGGTGCTGGATGCAAAATCTACATGCAAAAAAAATAAATCTAGACATACACTTTCTACCCTTCACAAAGAAGAACTCAAAATGGAACATGGACCTAAATGTAAAACACAAAACTATCAAATTCCTAGAAGATAGCATAGGAGAAAATCTAGGTGACCTTGGGTATGGTGCTTTTTTAGATGTAACACCAAAGACATGATAATAAAAAAATAAAAAGCTGGACTTCATTAAAATTAAAAACTACTGCTCCACAAAGACAATGTAAAGACATTACAAGATAAGTCAAAGACTAGGAGAAAGTATTGGCAGAACACTGTCATTCAAAATGTGGAAAGAAGTCTTAAAACTCAACAGTAAGGAAACAAACCACCTGATTTTAACAAAGGCCAAATACCTTAACAGACCCTCATCAAAGAAGATATACGCTCCCTTGTCATATGTCATCAGGGAAATGCAAATTAAAATAAAAATGTGGTACCACTAAACACCTGTTTGAATGGCCCAAATCCAGAACATTGGTAACGCCAAATGACAGTGAGGATGTACAGCAGCAACTCTCATACTCTGCTGCTAGGAATACGAAAAGGCACAGCTACTTTGGAAGACAGTTTAAAGGCTTCTCAAAAAAAATGAAATGTCCTTTTACCATAGGGTCAGCAATCATTCTTCTTGGTATTTGCCCAAAGGAGTTGAAAAGTTATGTCCGCACAAGAATCTGCACATAGATGTTTATAGTAGCTTATTCACAATTACTGAAACTTGGAAACAACCAAGAGACTGTTCAGCAGGTGAATGGAAAAACTGTGGTATATTCAGGCAGTGGAATATTATTAGTGCTAAAAATAAATGTGCTATAAAGTCATGAAAAGACATGGAGGAAAGTTTAATGCATATTACTAAGAGGAAGAAGGTGATCTAAGAAAGCAACCGTATGATTCCTACTATGTGACATTCTGGAAAAGGCAAAACTATGGAGATAAAAAGATCAGTGGTTGTCAGGGGTGGGGAGGAGGGTGGACAGAGATGAATAGGCAGAGCTCAGAGGATTTTTAGGACAACAAAAATACTATGTATGACATTATAATGATGGATATATGCCATTATACATTTGTCCATAAACATAGAGTGTACAACACCACGTGAAACTAGAGTAAACTATGGATTTTGCATGATTATGATGTGTCCGTGTAGGTTCATCCTTGGTAAAAAAAAAAAAAAAATACCACTCTGGTTGAGTGATGCTGATAATGGGGGAGACTATGCAAGTGTGCAGGCAGAGCATTTAAAAAACCAAAATCTTTAATAAAAGTCTGTATTTATTAACTTATGGCAATAAGTAGGATGATTATTACTAATATAAAACATTTTCTCACTAGCAAAATTCCAGGAAAACAGACAGAAGTGTATATCTCTCAAGGTATTAAAAGCACAGTAAAAATCTATTTGGAGTGTTCAAGGGAATCAGAACATTATTTCACTTTATCTTTTAGAAAATGTTCAGTTTTGGGTGATGCAAGTTTAATGATGCTAGTTTGTTATCCAGGTCTTTTTTCCTATGAGATAGAGCTTCCCGTTTCATTTTCCAGGAGAGACACTTGGTAGTTATTATGATGAATAGCTTACTGTTTTGTTGCCTTCTCTTGGGGTTGATGTGGTAGGATTCTGACTTCCTCCTGGGCAGTTGTGTCCAGGAAGAAATCTCATGACCCCCTTTTATGTCTTTTTTTTTTGTACAGATCCGGGACAACAGAACTGGAACGAGGAAGCTCATAGCTTTTTGGTATGTAATTGAAAGTTCTTCAAAACTTATTCTTTCTTTTAGTGATCTTTAGGACCTGAAGTGTCTGTTCTCCAAATCTGTGAACCAAATTATAATAGCCTAGGTGTATTTATCTCTACGCTAGGATTAATGTCAAGGAAAGATAATAGTAGTAGCCTGTTGTGTGACTACAGTATTTGGTTCTCTGGATTTCGTTGAAAATGGATTCTTGGAGTGATTACTTTTCAGTGGGAGAGTTGTTTAGTAAAGGATATCATTTATGGAATTACCTTTTTTGACCCACTCCATGGACAGGAACATACTGTAACTGTCAAAGTACTATAAAACTATGTGAAGAATCAATTATATAAGCAACTACATGTTTAGATGCCCAGATGTAAACTGAATGCCCTAGAAATGAGGCATTTATGATCTGAATTTACTAATGGTTAAAATGAAAAATTTGTAATTAATAATAATAGAAGTAAACCAATCTTAAGATGTCCTTACCTTTAAGGTTCATCATTAATGATTGAGGCAAGACCGGAGTTCTTGAATATGTATGTAATTCTTCTCATGATTCTTTTGATTTTTCAGTTTATAGAATGTTATAAAAGAATTATTATATGCCTTAGTTCCTGACTGGGATCTCTGTCTCTTGTTTCGTTTAAATCTTTTTTTGATGAAATACAATTCTAAACTTTCTTTAATGCAAGGATTTCATAGCAATCTATCAAGGACACATTCTTTTGTGACTCTTATGTTTGTGACTGAAATTTTGGTAAATTTTCAGAAAATATTGGTATATTAGTTTAAGTGTTACTGTTGTCCGTGAGCCAAACCACAATGATAATACAAATAACTATCCTCCCTAATATGTATTTTCTACCACTTCCAATCATATTGCAACTGTCTTTGAAATATTATTCCTTATGACCCATTAGTCACCACCATCCTTTTTGTTGACCATTACTCTGGCTGTCCAACCCACTGACAAAAGAATTAGTTTTGGTGCATATTTTAGCTGTTTGGATGTCTTCAAGTACATAATTTGCTGTCGTTTCAATATGTGTGTATTAAAGATATGTGGTTATTGATGAGGCAAATTATGTGACTCAATAAGACCCACACTGCCTTCTATGGTAAAGAATGCTGCATTGGCCACAACATTTGATGTTTCATTGAAGAATTTTAAGTGATGCTTCTCATACTCAAACTTTTCACTGATGGTTTACAAAACTGATCACCCTAAGGTATTGACAAAAATTGGTGGATTTTATCACCATCAAAAGTTGTCAGGTATTTTTTTCTAGCAGAACACTCTGATCCTCAGGTCAGAGGCCTCCCCATCATGCAAGGTATCTAGGAAGAGCCGAGCTTGTTATCAGAAAAAGATGTGTTGTAAGGGAACTGTGCATTGGTTAAAATATTAGATTATGAGAGCTATGATCTCTTGCAATGCAAAAGCTTGATACTTCTTAAGGAAGCTGATACTCAGCTATGCCTCCAATAACCAAATTAGATGATCGAGTCTTGTGAAGCATTACAGAATTTCTTGCTCTGAACAAAATCAGACCCACGGCATAGTGGTGAAGAGGGCAGGCTCTGAACTCAGACGGCCCGGGACTGCATCTTGTCTCTGATACTTACTAGCTATGTGACATTGGGTGACGCTCCTTAACCTTTTTGTGCCTCAGCTTCCTCCCTTGTGGAATGGAGATGGCAACAGTACCCCGTAAAGCTGGTGCAAGGATTTAATGAGTTCATGTGAAGATAGCACTTAGAATAATATTTCGTATTTAGTTAGGAACTCAATAAATGTTAGTATGATGGTGATGAATGAATGGTACTGGCATCGGCTGAAGCATATGTGCCTCTTGGAGATTTTTATAACATTTGCTACTAATCCCCCAAATTTATGGCCTTTAAGAGTGGAATGAATGCATCTGGGAATGATTTCTTTGAATTCTTACCAACTTATTTCTTCAGCTATTGTGATGTGCTTACTGTCTTGGTTCCCCTTGAAGCCAACATGAAAACAGCTCAAACTCTTCATTGCTTTCTACTTACACCCACATTGTGGTGTGGCTCCTTCTCACACTGTTTCCTCCATTTTTTGGCCCCATCTCCCACCTTCTTCTCATTGTCTTGTGCAAGCATTTCTGCATATATCCAAACATTTCTGGATCTCAGATTTTAAAACAAAGGAGATTATTATGGTGGAAAAATATATTACTGTATTTTTCTAGCAAAGCTAAGTATTTACCTAGAGGAAGTCTTGACCTGCTACCAGGACAGTAAAATGTCTCTGACCTGATGTGAGAGCACATTAATAATTTTCATTTTTACCACTTTCATTAAGCAATAGTAAAGGACCTTTGTTCATAAAGCCACTCTGATAAATTGTAGGCACAGTCCTTCATCCAAGTGTGTGCAATCAGAGCAAACCGTTCATATTTAGTTCTCATTCACATTTGCCTAAATTTCTGACCCCATGATTATTTTGAGTCCTTACAGAATATTTTTTCACTTCTGAAAATTGTGATAAAGTACACATACCACCTGAGCCATTTTAAAGTATACAGTTCAGTGATACTCAATACATTCACATTGTTGTGTAACCATCACTGCCATCACATAAATCTTTTCATCTTGTGTATATGTAACACATTTTGCTTATCCATTTATCTGCTGATGGACCCAGGTTGCTTCTACTTTTTAGCTATTGTGAATACTGTTGCTGTGAGCATAGGTGCCCAGGTATCTCTTTGAAACCTGCTTTCAGTGCTTTTGGGTCTATACTCAGAGGCAGAATTGATGGATCATATGATAATTCTATTTTAATTTTTTAATTGTTTTCCACAGCAGCTGTACCATTTTATATTCAACCTAAGAGTCATCACAGAATTCCTAAGTTCAGAATTCCTGTCTAATTATTTTGACATATTCCTATTGGGCAGTGAATATTGTAAAGTTTTATGTGAATACATTTTGAACACAGGTTATATTTTTCCTATTCATTTTTTCTTGCTGTGCCTATGAGAGTTATATTTTAAGATCTACCTAATGTTAATTTATGTTACCAGGTGATTCAGAGTGACAGTGGACTTTTTCCAGAACAGAAACATGTGGGCCAAGTCTCATACCTCTAATGGAAAAAGAACTTGGACTCCAAGGATTTATTGATTTATTTTGAAATAAACTCTATGTTAAAATCCTGTGTGCTGGCAGCGAAGGAACGGATGACCACATATGTTTTCTTCTTAAAGGCTTGTAATTTTTTTTGCACAAAATATACCAAAGTGAACAGGAATGAGAACAACTGGATTACAAAGAGAGAATTGGCTAACTGAAGAAATACACAGTGGTTAGTCTTTGAAATAGAATCTTCAAGCTTTTCAAATTGTGGAAAGGGCAGGATAACATTTGAGCTATTTTTTTCTGGTCAATAATATTTGTGCTTACTTATATTTTGGCTCAAAGATATGGATGTAACTTTTTAAGAGACAGAATCTAATACCCAAATTATCCAAAATTTTTTAGGTCATTTCCACAGATTAGTGGGGTACTTTCCCAAAAATATTTCTACATTTATTGCTTATAGACAGTGGGAGGACTAAGCTTACTCAGGGAGCAAAAAGTTTCTTCTTGCCAGACATTTTATTTTCCCTCCATTTATTATACTCAGTAGAAATATCAATGTCTTTCCTAATAAAATCACCTTCCATATGAAGTATTCAAGAAAAGGACTACCTTTAGTAATATCAGTTCACTTTACACAGAAAAAATTTGAACATAAAGACATTTAGAAAAGACTTCTGTTAATGGTTAGTGAGGCGCAAGGCCTCTGATCAGGCTGGGCAAGGCTACCTACCCTGTGCTAGCAAATTAACCCTGCAATCTTGGATTAATACAACAAACTTATTTCTTAGTCACCCTTGTAAGTCAGTGTTGGTGACAAAAAGGGCGGGCCTCCTCTGCTCCACACAGTCCCTCAGAGGTGCAAGCTGGGGGAAGATGTGCTGCCCTGTGGCAACAACATTACAGCAGGTGGCTTCAGGGTTTGCCATGACAGGAGGGTGGATGTGGAGCACTCATGTTCTCCTCCAGACTGGAAGTGATGCGCCTCACCTCCACTCAGTGTCCACTGGCCAGAACTAGTCACTGGCCTCTCTGATGGCTGGGGCTCGAGATCTTCCTGAGGGCCCAGAAGGAAACAAAAACTAGATTTAGTGAGCACCAGTTATTCCTTCTTTGATGAAGGAATGAAAATTCTTGCATTAGGCATCCATATAAAACAACTTTCCTGTCTAAATCAGTCACATTTATGATTCCTTATGTTTTACTATGTAGATAAGTTATTTTAATCCTTTTAAATTTCACATATTTTACTTGTTAATTTTAGGTAGGGATAGGTCAGACAAAGATGATTGGAAAGTAATTAGTGAAGGTATAGATACAATCGACAATGGAAAAATGTCTGTGGAAGAACTGTCCCTCATATGTTTATGTATCTATAGACTTTATGTGTATTATTAATAGCATTTCATTATTTATTTATTTTCTACAGAACCATAACATGAAATTCAGTGTAACACCAAAGACAGTGAGGATTGATTGCAAAATCAACTAAGGGGATATCAAGTTAAGAATATGAAACTATACTTTAGAATAGTTTTAATAGATTATCTTTCATTCATTTTATATTACCTTTTTTTTGTTATATATTCATCTTTCCCTGAATCGTAATCTCATGTTTTTTCCCCCTTATACCCTACGTTTTTCTCTTAAATTTCTTTTTCAGCTTATTGATGTATTTTATCAAGCAATATTTTCACATAGGGTACACGGGGAATTAACATTTCTGAAAATGTCTTTATTTTGCTCTCATGATTGTGTGTTTGGATAGAGGATTTTATATACAAATTTATTTTTATTCAGAACTTTGAAGGCATTGCTCCAATTTTCTTTCACATGTTATGTTGCATATGAGAAATCTGATGTCACTTTTATTCTTCTTT